GGGAACAAGGGGTGAAGCTGAAGGGCAGTGGAGAGGAGAGGCTCAGCCTGAACCGAGCCCCATGGTCTGAATTAGCCAGCAGTAAATGAGCTCTTTTAACAAACCACCCAGTGTGGAGCTATCGACCCGTGTGCAATAAAGACCAGCAAGGCTCTGCGTGTGCTCTGGGCTATGGAACCCCACACATGGGGGAGGAACCCCCCATGGTGCACATCACCTCCATCACCCAGCACCTCCGTGGCACAGGGCAGGGGCTTTGCACCTCTTGCACCTCAGAGGCTGTCCCTGTGACCCCAACCCTGTCAGGACCCCCCAGATGCATCCCAGTGTTCCCAGTGCCCCATGGCCACACACCCATCCCATCTCACACCGGCTGCGGGTACCAGCTCAGGTCACATCCACCTCTCTTGTGTGCTGGGAATGCTCACTGCAGCCAGAGCATCCTGGGGAGGCAGCCCCAAGCTCTGCGCTGTTTTCCAGCTGTCCTGAGCCAGGACAAAGCTCAAGACACATTGAACATCGAAGGCAAAGGATCATAGGTTGGGTTTGTACCTCTGGATGGGCTGGGTTCACAGCATCCCAGACTGGTTTGAGCTCACTGAGTTCCAACCAGAACACAGACTGAGGTCCCAGCAGTGCTGCCAGCCTCCATCGGGCACAAACCCTACCTGTGCTCACCCACCCCATGCACAGTTAGGCAGGAAGACCCAGCAGTGACCAGTGAACCCCATTTCATGGTGGCCTCGGTATCAAGGGACCCCACTGGTGCTGTGATGAGGCCACCAAGAGCTGGCCCCATCCCTGCAGGGCTGGACCGGTGGTTTCTGGGGTTGGAGACCCCTCACTGCTGCCTCCTACCTGCGCTCACTGAGGTGGCCTGGGTGGGATGAGGAGAAGCCGATGGGGTTATTTAGTGCCTGGACCCAGGCACAGATGCCCGGTGGTGAAGCACCCACCTGGAGTAGGTGCCTGGCTGATGTGGCCATCAATTACCCAGGGAATGGGGCTGGAGGACAGGCGGCTGCAATGGGCAGCCCCATGCAGGAGCCCAGCACATGTAATTAATCCTCGTTAGCAGCCTGATGGGGAGAGGGGTGCAGGGGCTGCTCCTGCAGCTGGGTCCACTCCTCCGTGTGTACCCCTCCCACCTCTGTCCCCTCTCCTGCCTCTCCCTTGCTATCCTGGTTTCCCCCTGCCTCTCTCCATCCTTTCTTCCCACCCCTCCCGCTACAGAGATGCTCTTCCCATCCCTAAAGCAAGGCTGAGGCTGGTCCCTGCCTGCTGAGCTCAGCTCCCAGCGGGTGCCCAGGATCCCTTATGATGGGGCAACCACAAGGACTTGGTCATCCCATGCCACAAGACAGGGCTTGGAGCACCCTGCTCTAGTGGAAGGTGTCCCTGCCTGCGCCAGGGGTTGGAGCTGGAGGAGCTTTAAGCTCCCTTCCAACCCAAACCGAGCTGGGATTCAACGATAAAACCAAGACGTTCCAAGCCACAAGGCCACCTCCAGAGCCCCGACCCACACTGCTGCACCCCAGCCCATGGGGACACTGGGGACATGAGGCTCAGAGGGCAGGAGCAGAGCAGGGCCTGGCCGGGGCAGCCTGGCAATGAGCGCTGGCAGGGACGCGTCATCCCCAGCCTGACATCCCTGGAGCGAGCAAATGCCACTGCTCACACAGCAGATGGCAAAGCCTCCGGGAGGGAGGGGAGCGGGGCCCCCATCAGCACCCCCAGCCATCGCCTCAGCTCTGCGCCTCCCTCTCAGGGCTGGGAGCCAGCACTGGGCTCCCAGGCTCTCTCCCCCCAGCTCCAGGCATCCCCATGGACACCACCCCAGGAGCAAGGGACCAGCCCCAGCCTCCTGCCCCGCAGCGCCTCGCATCCAGGTCCACCAGCCAGCGCTCCCATAGGATGCATTGGGCTGAACCAAAGCAGGGCCTTGATTTGAAAGGAAATAATAACCCTGGAATGAATAAATAAATAAATAAGTGACAAGCCCGAGCACAAATCTGCTTTTAAATTCAAATGTGCAATATGGCCCGGAGCCGCGGAGCCAGAAGGAAACTACAGATTTGGGCAAGGAAACAGGGAATGTTTCACTTTAGCTCTGTCCAAGCCGTCAGGATTTACAAAGCCGTGAGGGAGGTGGGGAGAACAGAGCGCTGCTCCCCAGGGATATCGCCCCCCCCTGCCCAGGCTGCTATCGCACAACCACAGCATCAGCCAGGTTGGAAAAGAGCTTCGAGATCACCCAGTCCAACCGTTTCCAAGCACTGCCAAGGCCACCACTGACCCACGGCACTGAGGGCCTCGTGTATGCGGTGTGTGAACACTTCCAGGGATGCTGATTCCCTCACCTAAAGAGTTTGTCCAGCTCCCACATTGGGTCCCCATCGTGTCCCACCAGCTCCATGGTGGTACCAAAGTGGGGGGCTCTCCCTGGGGATGCTGTTCAATCCTTCAGCACTCACAGGCGTGCAGCACCCAGGCAGGAGTTGGTACCCAAGGAGGACCTGGCACCCAGACCCTGCTCTGGGCACACTCAGGATCACAGCAACACCCATGGTGGCAGCGGCTCCACCCTGCTCAGGCTGGGTGCTCACATGGGACAGCAACACCATGACCATGGTCCTTGTCCTGCCAGGGTGGGGGGGCTGCAGCCCTCACCCTGTTCCAGGACAAGGGATGCTCTCCTGGACCTCGGGCCACCAACCCAGCAGCAGTGACCAATTCCAACCCTTCGGGCCCTTCCTCAATGAAGGGTTCCCGGGTTCCTGCCCCGGGAACCGGGAGCAGTAGCCGGGATTCAGAAGTGACGCGAGTTCAGTCATGCACAGCCGGGCCTTCACCTCTCCCGCAGCCAGCACTCAGCGCCCGGGATGCTCACGGGGATGCGGCCCCCTGCAAGCGCAGCCCCCGCCGAGGGAGGCTGCAGCATCGCCCGGTCCCGGCACTGGCGGCATCGGCAGCACGGACCGACAGTGCCACCTTGTGCCGCCTGCCAGAAGGATGCCCGCGGACGGGGGGGTCCGATACAGGGGGCTCGTTCCGGAGTGGGGTGGGGGGGTCCGTCCCCGGGATGCGAGGATACAGCGGGAGCGCGCACAAGGGGATGCTGCGCCCGTGGCCGTGTCCTGAGAGGGGGAGCTACGAGACCCCGTGTCCCAAACCCAGCCCCGACGATGTTGATGCATCGCAGATAGACACGGACCACGCAACTTCAGACATCGCCCAGGGCCATCCCAGGAGGAATCCCCTCGTGTTCTGCACAGGGAGCCTCATGCTGGTCGGGATGGGGAGAGGGGTTATCCATGAAAACAGGGGGTCCCCACCGAGCACAGCCCAGCCTCCCCCCAGAACATGGGGCAGCACGGCTGGGCATCACAAAGTGGGATGCAGGGGTGGCTCCTGCGGTGTGAAGGCACATGGGAGGCATCAGGCAGAGCACTGTCACCCCACGCCAGGGCTGCAGAAGCCATTGGCAATGCCATGCCATGTCCCCAGGTCCCCCTGTCACAGGCACATCCTGCATCATGAGTGTGGAGAGCAGAAGGGGACTCACACCCTGACCACGGGGGGGGGGGGGGGGGGGGGGACCTGCTGCACAAATCACTGCTGGTACCAAATGTCCCTTCTTATCAAGACCGGACGGGTATTCAATTTTCTCTTCAAACGCCTGCCTCTGAAATGGTAATAGAATTTCCAATCTAGGGAAAAAGGGAGGGGAAAAACTGAATATGCGAGGATTAACAATGAGAGAGAGACAAAGGGAGAAATTAGACCCAAAAAATATAGCGGGAGCCTATGCGGGAATTAATTAAATACAAATATAAAGAGAAAATTAACAGTCTCATGCTTCGGAGGGGGAGAAAAGGGATATTTTCTGAGCTTAATTAACCTTCTTTTGCCAAGCACAATGAGGAGGAAGGGGGAAGGGAGGGAGAGGAGAGCAGACTCCTGCTTGTTTTGCCTTGCAGATGATTGCAGGAAGGGGCCGGGCTTTGCCCACACAGGTTTGGGATGCACAGGTCTGGCTCATGCGTGTGTTGGGATTGTGTGTGGACAATAACTCCTGTGTTGGTCCTCATGGGCAGATACATGGGGGAGCAAAGGGAGAGCTGGGAAGAGCCATGGTCTGGGATGCCAAGGGATTGAGGAGGGGACAACCCCTCCTGGCAGGGACATCAGGAAAGGAGAGCTTTGGGATGCGGCTGGTGGCCATCAGGGGCATGAGATGATGATCCCCATTTCCAAGCTCCCAAATGTCATGTTTGCAGGTTTGGTACCTGCAGAGCTCAGAGGAATCAATCACAGGGCAACAACTTAGGGATAGGATGGGGCTTGGAGCAAGGGGTAGCAGATTAATGGTCTTTGTCACCTCTGTCCCCTCCTGGGGAAAGCAGGGGAGATGGGCAGTGACAGCAGGTGAAAAGCCACAGGATAAGGCAAGGAAAGGCAATGACAGTGCTTACATGAGCATTTCCGTGAGCATTCCACCCTCCATCACTTGTGTGCTTGGATGGATGATGGAGAAGCCAGGGCCCATGCTCCTGGATGAGGATGCAAAGAGCAGAGCAGCTTTCCAGGCAGGATCAGCTGGATGATGTAATTCATAATTCCCATGCAGGAAGCTCCTGAGAGGCACAAGCTGAAGAGCTGGGTCCATGTTCCATCCCTGGCAGTGTTCAAGGCCAGGTTGGACTGAGTCTTGGGCGACATGGTCTAGTGGAAGGTGTCCCTGCCCATGGCAAGGGGTTGGAACTGGATGATCTTAAAGTCCTTTCCAACCCAAACCATTCTATGAGTCTATGATTCTGTGATCTCTGCTTGGGTCTGGCCCTGTCAGCACAGCATCACCCAGGACACAGCATCACCCGGACACAGCATCACCCGGACACAGCATCACCCAAGACACAACATCACCCAGGACACAGCATCACCCAGGACACAGCATCACCCAGAAACAGCATCACCCGGACACAGCATCACCTGGAAACAGCATCACCCAGGACACAGCATCACCCAGACACAACATCACCCAGGACACAGCATCACCCGGACACAACATCACCCAGGACACAGCATCACCCGGACACAGCATCACCCAGGAAACACACAAGATGCCATGGGGAGCGGGATGGGGTGATCAGTAACTTAACCCCAGCATCAGCAAGTGTTCATTTCCCCAACACAGCTCCTTGTCTGTCCAGGCATAGATTGCAGAATCATTCAAGAGTGTTCAGTGTAAATGACTGTGGGTACAAGGAGTGCTGGAGCTGCAGGCTGGGAGCGTTGCAGTGAAGTGCACAAGGTATGTGGCAAATGACGTCCCTAATTGATGCAATTTATAAATTGGGTTTCATAAATTAGCTACCCGAGGTGCAGAATGAGTGTCAGATTGTGTACTCCATTGTCACAATCAGAGCTCAGCATCAGGCGAGTGCGAGGATTAATCCTGACAGCACCAAGTCTGGGTGCTGCAAAGAAAGAAACAGAAATACCAAACTCTATCTAATAGCTCAAACTAGGAGGTTATTGGCACTAATAAAGTGCAACCACTCAATTACTTATTGGGGGGGGAATAAACAAGGCAGAGAGAGCAGGATCAGTTAGCACAGACATCAACATTGCCTTTCCCTTCTCCCAAAGTTCATGTCTCATTCCCAGGGTAAGGAATACCTCCGTTAACAGCTAAGGGCTACAGAATCATGGGTAACTTTGCCATTAAGGAGTTTAGATTAAGGACAACATTACACTACTGACAGGCAGCACATGGGACCATGAGTATGGAAAAGTCCATGGATTTAGTGCACAGACTCAGCTGCCATTATCCAGAATCCTGAATTTTCAGGACTTGAAGGACCCCAGGAAACCAGGACCAAGTTAACAACCATTTCCCCCAGGTTAACAGCCAAAGGTCCACTTTCAACCATTCCTTTTCCATGAGCACTTCCCTCCACATCCATGCTCAGCATGGATGAGACAACCCTGGGCCAGGCGCAGCCTGTATCGACACACAGGCATCAGGAAGGGAACGGTGCTTCTCTTCATGTAGAGCTTTGATATGACTTGAAAACCTCAGAAGGGTTTTGGGAGGGTGTGTGGGGATGCAGAGCAACAGGAGGAAACATCACGGAGAGGTTTATACATCACCTAAGACCTAGGTCTGGGTGGAAATAGACGGATCAGAGGAAGCAAGAACGGCAGGAGCTCCCCCAGGGACCCCATGGGCACTGACAGTGCCAGGGCTGAGCCACACTTCCCACTCCCCTTTCCGCATTCTCAGTGGGTGTTAAAGGCTCCTGAGTTTCAGACCTCCTCACCTTGCTCTCCTCATTAAAACCCCATTTGCTTTCCAGTTGAGGATGGCAGAACCCTGCTCCCCTGAGAGCTGCAGTGATTACGTTGTCATCTACTCGCACAGTGCTGCAGGGTCTGTGGCAGTGTCAGAGCATCAGCCTCCAGCCCCAGGGGTGACGAAAGCGATCTGGAGCACAAGCCCCTTGAGTACAGCTCATTCAAACCTCCCCATTGACGGGGCTGTTTTCCCACAGTGCAACCCAGGTTTGGACCTCCCAGGTAACCCCATGAGGTGAGCAAGTCCATGGGCAGAAGGATGATGTTATGATGGGCACGTGGCTCGTTTCTCTGTGCCGTTCTTGGCACTGTTGAATGGAGGGTTTGACCCAGCAGAAGAGCCACACTCTGAAACATCTGCCCAGCACAGAATCAGAGTGGTTTGCATTAGGAAGGACCTTAAAGCTCATCCAGCTCCAACCCTGCACTGGACACCCCATTTCTACAACCAGATCCAACCCTATTCATTGGCTGAAAAGAGCCTTGGAATAGAACTACTTGAGCTCTGCATCAGGCACAAGCACTGCAGGACTCCAAGGAGGACACTGCTTCATGAACCAGAGCCTGCTGTCTGAGGGTGCTTCCAAGAAGACAACCAGCTCAGACTCGGCAGCATCATTTCTCCTCTTTATCTGTTTGGCCACAGCCTAAACCGTGCCCCTTCCCTCCAGGCAGCACAGTTCCATTTTCCTGGCACCGGGAAGGCCAGGAAAACCAGCGGATGGGTGGAACCGGCAGCTGGCACCGGGCTCCCAAGGCTGGGTTTCATTAGGATGGTGGGGAGAGCAGCCATGAAGTGTATTAAATGTATTACTGTGGATATTCCATTTCCTAAACTACCCTCCAGCATGGGAATGTATACTTCAGGGTACCATAAGGCTCTATATGAGATATTCAGAATGTAGAGACCTCAGAGCAGCTCCCAGTGCCTAAAGAAGCCCATGAGAAAGCTGGAGAGGGGCTTTGGACAAGGGCCTGCAGAGACAGGACAAAGGGAATGGCTTTAACCTGCCAGAGGGGAGCTTGGGGTTAGATACAGATTCTATGATTCTGACTCTTTGACCTGGGTACATCGTCTGGAGGGTGTAAATGGGTAACTTACACCTGTAAAGGCAAGGAGACCATCACTAGCTTCCAGTCTCTGACCACCGAGCCTCTAAGGGGCTGCTTTCTCCTAGGGGAGGACAGGGAGTTCCCTGTTTCAGCGCCATGTGCTGAGCTGCTCATGGGGTTGGATCAGGTCTACCTAACAACTGTTTGTTTTCTTACACCTTTAGATCAGTTTTGTCTTATTTAGTCCTTGAACTGCTGAGCTTGAACTGATTTCTTTGACAGGCACCAGCTCAGGGATGCTCCCCTAGAAGCAATGGGAAGGGCGAAAATATTCTCCCTCCTGAACAACCCTCCGTATCCACCATCCCCCTGTATCCGTCCCCTGCGTGATGGAGCCCATCGCCACAGTGAGTTTGGTTTTATCCTCTGCGAGTGGGGAGTGCCACTGCAAGTCAGGATTAGCTAAACATAACATTAAACCTAAAGCACGGCTATTAATTTAATGGGCTCCTCATTACAACCATCATAAAACAAGTAAACAGGAACTGTGCCAGTGCCGCGCATCCCGCTCCGAGCAGCGGAACCAAGGGAGAGGCTGGAATTCTTCCATGTGATGGAGCTGGCTTGTAAAAATTCATCCCTTGCTTCTCCTTCAGTGGCCTTTTGACTGCTGCAGGAGCCTGTGGCTGGTGAATGCAGCAAAGCTGCATGGCTTGCAATGAGGAGGAGGGGAGATGCCAGGCCAGGATTTCCCTTAAATCACGTCAGGCAAAATTAGAAGCTTACAAAAGGCAGAGAAATGGCTCTTTATGGGCTGCAGCAATCAAACAGCCTTCACAGCCCCTTTAACCCTTATTTACTTCTCTTTTGCAAGCCTTCGTGTTGGGACTTCTCCCTCTGCTCCTTACCTTCCAGTGCACTAATGGTAACTGCCTTGGGTTGCAGTTATTGGACTAAGTGGATGGTCAACAGGGTTGTCCAAACAGAGCATAAGCAGGGGGCAACAGACTTCTCTGTGTTAGGCTTGTTCCAAACATCAGTCAGGTCTTGTGCAGTGCTAGGGATCAGGGAATCATCACAGAATGGGTCTTAATGAGGGTGCTGAGGCACTGGCACAGGGTGCCCAGAGAAGCTGTGGCTGCCCCATCCCTGGCAGTGTTCAAGGCCAGGCTGGACACAGGGGCTTGGAGCAAGCTGCTCTAGTGGAAGGGGTCCCTGCCCGTGGCAGGGATTGGAGCTGGATGAGCTTTAAGGTCCCTTCAAACCCAAACCAGTCTGGGATTCTATAAAAGAGGATGCAAAGCAGGATTCAATACGAGCCTCCAGGTCCCTTCTGCCCCTTCTCCCACACTCCCGGGACAGCACATACATCTCCCACACAACAGCTCCCACAGGAAAGAGCACAGGGCATCAGGAACCAGACACAAGTACTATTAACACAGCACAAATGAAATGGCTGGGTCAAGCACAAGCCACTCCACTGAGTGTGAGCAGGAAGAATGGCTAATTTAGGCCATTCACACGGGGAAAGCAGCTCTGGGAGGGGTTTGTTACGTACCCAGAGGGAGCAGTGGTTTCATCTGCAGCTTGGAAACTGAGGTTTGCTGCTCCTGCTGGGCAGAGGACAAAGGAAAGTTCTCTGCCATGCGCTGGGCTCTGTAACAAGTTTGAGAAGAGCACATGGGTCATTAAATACAAGACACGGAGCCCTTCGCTGACCAGTGGCTGCTCCATTTGCTCCCTCTGGGTTTGCCCCGGGCTGCACAATCAGTGCTCTGCAGTGTAATCACACACTGGAGCAAGAGGTGGAGGGGAGTCCTACACTATACAGTACCTATACTGCTTCCAGTGCTTGGACTGATGACCTTAAAGGTCTTTTCCAACCTAAGTGATTCTATGATTCTAACCCCCCAAAGACCAAGTCACCAGGCAAAGGGAAGCCGAACATGGTCCAAGACACTGGCAACGGAGTGTTTTAGGGGATCAGACATAAACAACAGAGCAACAAGCTCCAGACAAACCCTTTTAACCAGGTTGGAAATGAAAAATAACAACTTGAAGGCCAAATTGAAAAATTCTGCTTGGGAAAAGGCGCACGCAGCGGGAGCCCACAGGATTCAGCAGACTATAAAATGGGAAATGAGACTTAGTCTTCTCCCCCTACAGCTACACAAACCCCTCCTACATAGATTACAGAGCGCTCGGCAATTGCCTTCCTCCTCCAGCCTCTCCCGTTATGGCCAAAGCAGAGCCGGTAGGAGCCTGAATGCAGAGAAGATATTAGATAAAGCATCTTGCAAAGTCAAGTGTGAAATATTAACAACAGGAGGCAATGGGTTGTGTTTTTATGCAAGATCACAAATTTGGTGCTTACGGAGCCGGGGATGCTCTCGCACACTGGAATCTCAAAGCGCTCGTTGAATGTTTCATTTCAAAAGCTGTTGAAGCCTGCTGGAAAACGTCTATCGGTTCTGTTATTTGCTGTATCTCCTCTGGCTTTGTTGGTTTTGTTCTTCTCCCTTCCTGCAACACTAAGAAATGATGCATGAATAAAACAAGGCTGCTCCTTCCCTCTTCTGGGCAGGTTCAGAACAATTCACATCATAAAGCACGTCCTCTGCAAGCCTCTCCTTTCACATGAAGTAACTACAGTTGTGCACGTTGCAGATACATCTGTACACACCATGACCCTATTTGCACACAGAGCTGCAATAAATGGGCAGGCAAAATGGACATGCAATGTTCATCTGGAGGGAGCACCCATTAGGTAGGGTTGGTTTGAGTAGGTGAGACCGGTCATGGGTATTCCCGGACACAAAAGAACTCCTTTTTATCCAGCCCATGTAGCCCAGGGAGCAGCGTGGCTGCCCCTGCCCTACCTCAAACTTGCCTCCAATTCAGTTCCTACAATAGATGCAGACCTTGTTTATCCCGCTGTGCCACTTGCCCATTAATGCCAGCTGTGCCAGTAGCTGTGTGATGAGGACATCTATTCAGCGCTGGACACCAGGCTCCAGGAAGAACAATCTCTGCCACTTCAGAGCGTAACTGACACCTGCTGTCACAATCTTGCCTGAAAAACAAATTCATGCTCCAAATACCCAACAAAGAGTCAAGGAGAAACATAAAGAGCGGGAGCGTACGAGGGGATGCAGGGCTGCTGTCTGCTTTGCAAGGGCCCCGGTAGTGCAGGAGCAGCAAAGGGAGATCACTGACTCGAGGAGCTGCGTTACCTGCATGTTATTTACTCAGGCAGCAGCTGAGACCCTGCAAACTGAACTTCATCTTCAGCAGCTTCCCACTGACATCTCTGCTCACCGCATCCTCCCCTCGGCTCCACTCCCTGAGCTGATGATGAGGGCAAGAGCAGCAAGAGTGCTCCTGGGCACAAGGAAACACCAAAGGAAAAGCACTTCCTGGAAGGCACCTGAGACCATGATCCCCATGGACCTGATCACCGAGACTTTCATCACAGAGTGATGAACATCAAACCCAGGCAGGATGAAGGAGTGTCCCACTTTGAGGCACAGGTTGAACTCATCCTCAGGGGCAGAGCTAGACAAGCCAGACTGGAGCGTGCTGACATGCAAGAGGTGTATTTTCAGCTATTAACCACTCGGCCCCTCATCTGGAGGTACTGGATGGCCTCAGAGAGCCACTTTGTCCTTGTTGAGCTGCAGGACAGCCGCAAAGCACCTGGGCAGCATGAGCTGGAGATGTTACACTGATGATTTTAGGGCTGATTTCTCCTCCCCCTCCCTTCTATCAATGGAGTTCAGTATCTGAATGATCACATCTGTTTATGTTTCACAGACACCTGCGTATCTTGAGATGACAGCAACTCCCTGAATGCTGTAATCAGTTATTTCTCAACAGAGGAATTGCCAATTTGGTAAATAAAGCTCATTATAAAAGAACATGGAAATGCATTACAGTTGCCTAACAGAGAAAATTGTCCAGCACCGCCAAATAATCAACCTGGTATCACAGCCCCCCCAGCTGAAATAATGACATGCAAATTGCTCACACCAAGAGAACATGGGAGGGGGCAAGAAGGGAAATGAGGAAGAGACAAAACAGATACTTTACAGACCAACAGTGATTTAAAACCTAGTCTGGGACAGACCTTGGTGCTCCACGTTCCTGCATGCAGAACCTGGCTGTCCCAAGCATATCCCAACGCCAGCATAGCAGCAAAAGCCCTCCCGAGCTGTTTGCTCCAAACAGCTTGTTTGGAAAACTTGCCTTTGGTGCAGCAAGTTTGACCTGCACAATGATAAAGAGCTGGGATCTTGGTCAGATCCGAGACTACAAAGGTGAGCCATGGGTAAGCAAACATCGCTGCCGAGGAGGAGAGGGTTGGGGCATCAGCTCACCACAAGGAAAGGCGCTTTTGCTGTCTTAATGAAGATGTAAAGCACAAAGTTGCTGCCTAAAGAAAAAAAGAGGTGAAGCAGAGTAAAGCACAGAAACAATTCTCACCCCCCTCCATCCATTTTCATCAACACCACATTAAATTGTGACACAACCTCCAAAAATCCATGTTCATGACCCTCAGAAACTGTCAGAGCCGCTCAGAGAGGACACAAGCAGCAAATGCTGCCAGAGGAGATGCTTCAGCCAGGAGAGGATCCAGTTCTAGAGCTCAAGCTCCCCAGGTTTGCTGACACATCTCTTGCTCCTTCCTCTGGGAGGATGAGGGATTCTGAAGAGGGGCTTTAGATAAGGAACACAGGGACAGGCCAAGGGGAATGGCTTTAACCTGCCAGAGGGGAGACTGAGATGAGCTCTTAGGCAGAAGCTCTTCCCTGTGAGGGTGCTGAGGCGCTGGCACAGGGTGCCCAGAGAAGCTGTGGCTGCCCCATCCCTGGCAGTGTTCAAGGCCAGGCTGGACACAGGGGCTTGGAGCAAGCTGCTCTAGTGGAAGGGGTCCCTGCCCGTGGCAGGGGTTGGAACTGGATGAGCTTTAAGGTCCCTTCAACCCAAACCAGGCTGGGATGCTGTGACGAAATGCCAGATGAACACTGCTCACACCGTCCCTCGGCTCTGCAAGGAGAAGGCTTGAAACAGAGCGCAGGGCTGAAAGAGATGGGGGTGTAGTCAGACAAAGCAGGAACTGCACACAGAGATAACTTGGGCTGTGCATTCAGCAGGCAGAGGTTTTTTCAGTGTGATTCACCACCCCCGTTCCCTCCAGCCAAGACTCTGCACTCTTCCAAGTACTCTCAAACAAGCCAAAGTCATTCAGACCACAACCGAAACGAACAAGTTTTGTGATTTATAAACTGCGACGTGAAATATTCCTGTTCCTCACCCTGGCTGGGAGGTTTTGTTGGCATGGGCAGCAGGCAGAAAACAGCGACTGACAAAGTGCTGGGGCTGGAAGGATCTCACAGCGCACAGTGACCATTCAACTCTTTATTGTTCAGGAGGGAACCTTGGAAGGGCAGAAACGTGCCTGCTGGTGCCACCAATGGGAGCACACTGGGAACAGTGAATCCTAACAACTGGTCAGGGCCACTTCCAAATAAGCCAGACCCCTTTCACCACGGCAAACGGACAAACATAACAGCTCTTGCAACTCCAGTGTGGGTCAGTGAAACCAAAGCGAGCACAGGGTGAACCAGTGTTGGGCAAGGCTCCGAACTACAGGCTGTGCCGGAAGCACCTGAGGCCAACGTGAGTCTTTACACTGTAATGCAATAAAAAGGAAACGATAGCATCCCCCTCCCCTGGGACCCTCCTCCCAACTCCAGGAACATCCCCCTGAGACTGAAACATGCAGACAATTAAAAGGAGAATCATGTCGTCGTCTTGGACCGCGAAGGGCAGAAGGCACCGGGTTTTGGTCAGTGTCTATCCAGAAGGATGCTGGGGCTTCCAAAAGGATGCTGGGGCTTCCAAAGGTGTCTGTGGTCCCTGTCCTCTGCTCTTTGGTGGCTGATGTCTATCCAGAATTAACTAACAGCTCCTGGGTGAAAAAGGAGACAAAGGAGAAGGCAGGAGGTTAGCGACACAGCTACGGACATGGGATGGTTTCCTTCAGGAGTGAAGGAATAGTGTGGGCAGGGTGAAACCCCCATGGAAAGTAATGAGGTTTCACCTCTTGTAAAACACAAGACACTGAGGGGACAGAGAGCAGAAGCAAGGCAGGAGGTCCTGGTACCCCAGGCAAGCCCCGCTCTGTGAACAGGAATGTGTGGTCAGTTGTAAATGATGAGGGTTTGTAAATCCCATGGCCTGCAGTGGCAGAGGATGGCTGCGATTGCAGGGGAGCCTCCAAGGAGCTGGGTTACGGGAGTAAGTGTGGCTCCATGCGAAGTCACAGCCGCAGCAGGACACGGGAGCACTTGGACTGGCTGCCACCAACCATGCACACACCACTCGCTCATCCTGGAATGGGATCAATGAGAGGGTGAGCACAAAGGATTAAAGAGAGGGACTCGGAGCCTGCCTTGACGTGTTTGACAGCCTTTATCCTGCCAAAACCCAAACCCCCCTAAATCCAAAGCAAAATCATGCCTGCTTTGTCCCCACCTTCTCTTTTCTAAGTGTTGCATCCCCAGACACTGCAGGTATCTGTGTATGAGCTGTGGAATTCCAAGGGGTAGAAAAACCAGGAGGGTTTTGACCTTTTTATGATGGTGATTGCAGAGATATGATCTCCTCCTGGTTTTATCTCATCACTCCTATAAAGACAAAGAAATCAAACCAAGAATGCCACCAGCAGTGGATGAGAACACACCTGACACCAAATATAATACCTCTGCCTCTGAGAATCTGGAATATCAGCATCGGACCTTGCTTCCAAACCTAAGCAAACTGCTCTCATGCACCAGCAATCGCCATCTTTAGATCAATGCTACATCAAGAGCAATATCACATGGGCTGAGCCCATCCACATGCTCTGAGAGGTGCAGTTCTATTTTGCAGAGCACTTACCCATGGTGAGAGGACCCTGCTAAAGCCTCCTACAGAAAGACAACTGAACAGTTACCTGCATGGTTTCTCAGCACCCATTACTACCAGGGCTGGATCTGAGCTCAGTTTTACTCTCTAGACACTCGTGTTTCTTAGGAGAGAAGTTGTGCTTCCTTGAGAGTGAATCAGAAAGGACACCATCACACAGTAACGATGCTGGCACACTTGGCAGCGAATGTCAGAAGGCGAGAGTGCCATTTGGACTACTTCTGCACCGCAGGCTGATCCTGCCTGACACCTGCAAGGTCAGCATATCCAGCCTACGCTGACCATGCATCTCCAAGGACAGCCCCATCTCTACCAACAACAAAGTGGGAAAGCTTCCCAGCACTCGTGAGTAAAGAGGAAACTGTTTGCCAAATTATTTAGACAAAGCTTATCCAGAAACGTGACAAATGAAGCATCAATACCACCCAACTGACTCTAATTTCCCAGGTAATTCTTCTCGTCATTAGTGACTTGAAAGTTTCACGCTGCAATATATCCGAAACCCTCCAGCAGCACTCACACCAACTGTAATGAGTGAGGCAGCAACAACTCGCAATCAATTCTGCAATAAAGTCATTTGCTGTATTCGCACTGAAACACTTCACTGAAGTGTCCGGGAATGCTACAGCAGGAAAAGCCACTGCTGGGGCCACTCTGTGGTTAACCCTTATGGCAGAGAGTAAAACCTTTTCCTTCAAAGCAATTCTAAAGGATCTCAGTTACACGATTCCGTGTTCGGAATCATAACTGCAGATTTTTACAGCTTTCAGGAGAAAATGCAAACACGCAGCACCTAACCTCAAACAATTACTTCCAGCCCCAGCTACCCACATACTGGGGATGCATCGAGCTGTAGGCCCACAAACATTCCTTGTGCCAGTCCATCAGGTTCCATCTCTCCCTGAATGACTAACCTGAGCACTGCCAGAGAGCCAGACACTGGTGCCCTGCTGCCCAGCTCTCACCAAGGGATGCTGCTGGGAACAAGGGATGCCGTCCATCACCCCATGCTGCTCTCAGGAGTGGCCTGGCACAATTACATATCTAAGAGCAGCATGGGCTGGATGGAACAACTCATTAACATCTCCTCCTTCATCAGGGGCGTGAGATGCTGAAGGGTTGGCATCTGGGGGAGCTGAGGCACTCCCAGTACAGGACATAGGGATGCTTCCCAGCTCTTTCAGACTTTCCTGCTCAAATGCCAATCCAGATCTCACAGCATTTGCCATGCCACTGTAGTCCACTACTGTCCTGAGCCCTGTAATCATACAACAACCACACTATGATTCTAATACTGCCAAGGTTCAGTTTACAAAGGAAGCAGAGCAGAGTCCAGTCTCTGGCTGGCCGTGAACCAGTGCTCTCTGCATCTGCAGGACATGCAGGTGTGGTGCAGGCACAGATAACATCTGATGAGGCTGGAGGTCAGAGCTCTCCTCTTCCAGCTACTGCAGAGCTCCACGTGGCCATTGCACGCTGCTCCGTGAAGCTCTGCAAACCTCATTGTCTGCTGGCCCATCGTATAAGTCTGCACTTGTTAGAGTACACATGTAATTGTTTCCACTGTTCCTAGGCCATCAGTTTATAAACCTGTGGCTAACTACTTAAAAGCACAGTTGCATCAATTTCATGCCTCGCATGCTGTGTAATAGCGTGGAAGGACACCGTATCTCCAAGCCTAAACCCACTCTTTGCTAAGCTAACCATCTACGCCAGCCTTTTAATTCCACTTCAGCACTGCACCCATGCTGATACAGATTTGCCACCCCTCCATTTCCTTGCAACCCAAAATCCTCCTTGCAAGGTACTACAAGGTTGCCACAACACTTACCTTGAGCAGAAGGAGTAAGAAAGGGAAGGAGAAGCCTCACCTCTCCTGCACACCCTTATCACTGCCTATGCACCAGACAAGCTGCATATGCAACAAACCCAGGCAGCCTGTGATCACAAGCTGCTCCTACAGGACAGGATGCTCCCAATGAATCGGATTGTGCCTGAAGTTTGGTGCCTCATCACAAAACAACAGCTCCACAGTCGGCATTGGCTGGTCCCTGCTGCAGCCTTAGGACAACCCCCTGGAAACAAGCAGCCTTGGAGAGTGCATCACACTCCAATGAGAAGGGATGGTGCCCTCCTTGCCCTGGGCAGCATCCTCCCTCCTCCCACAGCCACTGCAGGGATCTCCCTTCTTAAAAGCCCACTGAAGAACTTCCTCCCTCCCTGCTTGCCAAGCCTCAGCTAAGACACATTGATTTAACCAGCCTTTAGTCCCACGGGATAAACCCAGCAAGTCTCCTCCAGCGAGCACCTTATTCTGTCCCAATATTCCTTGAAGCAGTTGCACCACGGCACTCACACACACTGGCATCGTGTAGCTGGGATGGCATCAGAAAGCAGATCCCTGTGATAAATGACTCGGTGCATTCAGAGTGTCACTGACAAAGTAGGAATTAATCCCCACAGTTCCTGTGGAAACTGCCACGGGCAGGCAGCTCCCAGCACTGGGATACCCGCTGGCACCCCAGTGATGTGACTGCACAACTCCTGCATCCCAGTTAGTTGGCAAAGAGGCACTGATGACAAACAAACCCCTGACCCGTCCTGAGATGGGTGCTCAAGGCCTTTCCCCCTGGAGAAGGCATTTGTTGCAGGGCTATTAGCACCCCGAAGCACTGCAAGGGACATTTGAGTCACTCTGGGTTGATGTATGCTGTAGGTATTTTTTGGTTATGTGCAATTTGTTCTGTTACATTCAGGGTATTGGCTATTTTGTGGAGCAGCTGTGCTGACTAATGGATCACAGCACTTCTGTGCCATACAGTTATTGCACAGAAAAGCCTCTCTGTCTCTCATCCTTCAGGAGCCCAACAGTTGCTGTCCTTGGGTTTGGAATAAGGAGGGGCAGGAGTATGCCTGGCAGCAACAAAAAACATTAATTCAAAGGGCTATGAAGAGAGTTTTGTTTCCCCTCTTCTCTGTACTGGTGTTAACGGCTTTGCAAAGCAGAGAAGCTCACCCAGTGACTTCTTGGCTGCTATCCCAGATGGTGTCTCCAGAGCTGGCCTGGCAGCACCAAAGGCGCCTGTCAACCCCCCCCCAGACGCATTGTCCGGATGCCCAGAAAGGGCTTTCCTGTGGAAGTGCCCTGTTCCACACACCCACCAACACAGCAAGGCACAGAAGCCGCCGGTCCGGCTTCCTCTCCCCCTCCTCACCCAGCTCTGACTCACAAGGGCTGACCCGCTGCTCGCTTTGCTCTGCCCCGACACCTCCCCATCGCCCCGCATATGAAGCTATTTACTAGCACAACTCGGGTTGTTTTGAGGCTCACCTGTTTGTTCATGCATTCTAACATTGATTTCCTCCGCACAATCGTTCTGATCGTGGTTCTAACTCACACAGAGCTCCCGTCATTATCCTTGCTTAACAGGAAACGTTTTGCCCCTGACTGAGCAGCTCCACAGTTCCTAAACTGCACAGAAGCTTCCTCCCGGCTGGGGGCTGCATCTCCCCGCTGAGCTGGTAGCCCCAGACATCACAGTAGGGAACACGCTCACTGCTTTTGATTTTGGACATGTGCTAGAAAATACCAGGGCCAGGAGGTACAAACACAGCTCTACAAAGAGGCGCTGCTGAAAGGATGCTGTTAATTAACCGCCATACAAACCGAAGGCAGGTTTTGTTCAATCAATGTTAATTGCATTTAATCTCCTTCTTTCGCCGTTAAGAAAAGCCACCGAGCCAGGCTGATGTTGCTGGTGCCTGACACACAGATTCCACCCACGTTTGGGAGGCAAGGCAGGAAGAGAAAAGTAATGGAAAGAAAGGAAATAACCCTTCGTCAGCCCTTCCGCATCGCTGCACAACTGCATTGGGTCTGCTCCATTATTTAAACAATTTTTGTTTCCCAATAACATTATAGAGGAGCTCAAAGGATGAAAATCAGATGCAGAGCTTTTCACCACTGGTTATTCTTGCTGGCCTGGGTACCAGCTCAGAGCTTTGCTAACCTGCCCGGCTATTGGGCTTCTGTACTGGACTGAAGCATAGAAAATCACTTATGTGAAGTGGTTTCTGCAGCACAGGAAGCCCAAGGTTTCATGACAACAGCCTTATTGCCTATTGCAAGCACCTTGCCTTCCCCAAACCAGTCTCAAGAAAAGCAACCAAGACCCTGCTCTGCCTTCCCCACGGCAGCATACACCTCACCTGAAGCTGATGCTGCAGCTCAGCAGAGATTTCCTGTATCCCTCGACAAGCGTTAATCCCAGTGCCTCTCACCGTGTAAAGTGGACGTATCACAAGTGCTGTGAAGGACTGGCTGAGTTTTAAGTGGTCTGAAATGGCTCCACTAGACTTGGTCAAGATTGCTTTAAAATCATTTCCCATTAGGACTGTGACCCTCTCTCTTTACAGCCAGCATAATGACTCTACCTCAGGGGAAGATAATTACATCCCACTATCTATACACATCAGTACACTGTAGACAGCACTGTGCCTTTCTGGAACAAGCCAGAGTAGGTAATGCAGGAGGAAAAGGAGGTGACATTGGATGCCCCTCCATCCCACAACTGCAGCCACCCTGAGCATTTCCCAAGCTCGTGGATTAGCCCCCATGAGGGATAAAGGGATCCAGAAGGCACAGAGTGTTTCTAAAGCAGAACAACGACAACTTGTACAAATCCAGCTCTGGTTTTGTGAGGATTAAAATGAACTTCACCCAACTGTGAATATCCGTTTCCAGAGCCAAAAGGAATGGAAAACCACTTACTGATGCAACAGCATTTCATTCTTTCAAACCCTAAGCCCAACGCTTCCAAAAATTAAGGACAGGCAACAGTAATGTTATGGCTGGGGGATGTTGGCTGCAGGGGTTTAACTGCTGAACTGCCAAGCCGTGCTCCGAGCACAGCACAATGAATCACAGTACACAAAGAGAGGCAACTCCTCATTCCTGCCCTTGCTACCGGGATAATCAGTGGGGGACGGAAAAGGAAAAAATAATCCCAGAAGCCAAGAGACTTTGGATGAAGTCGTATAAATGCCCCATTCCCTCCTAACACAAGGAAGAAAGAAACGCAATAAATACCTGCAAAGCCATTCCAGTATTTTGGATTAAATGGATTACAGGAATGGAAAGTACACGATGCAAGATGTTATAAAACAAGATGCCAGGAAAGTGTAGGAATTTGAATCAGGCTGGCAAATGATCCCTGCAGACTATTGAGGAAAATTAATAGAGAGAAAGGGTAAAGAAAGGGTACAGTAAGAACAGTGACTGATGAACACTGTTGTTGGGATGTGTAAATTCAGGACGCCAAACTCCCACTCAAATCCACTGCAGCCCTGGAACAAGAATAGCAAATCCTACTGTTGAGAAGCACTAGAAGCAGCAAAGTCAGATACACCAAACCCTGCTCCGGGATAGATTTCCCCTGTGCATCCCTCAAGATTGAAGTTTGTGACTTTAATCATTCCTGGCACACTGTGTATATAGGGATTCAATGCAGGGATTACTAGCAGGATCCTTGTTGTAAGTGCCACTTCTCAAACCAATTACACTTCACTGGATGTCAGTAACATACACAAGAAAACAAAGTAGATAAAGGCAGCAGGATGGCGAGATGCAGATCTGGTGCAAGGAAATTTCACAAGGTCACCCAGGAAAATAGAGACACTTAGCATCTAAACTGCTCCAAGGTTTCTAATTCCACAGCGCATTAAAGCTCCACATGACCCAGACACAAAACACCTTCAACACACCGGTGACTCCAAGCAAGCCATGGCTGCTTGTGGAGAAGTGCCATCAGGGTGCAGGAAGAGAGAGCCAGGAGGTAAAGAGCAACCTCTGAACTCCAAGGGATGGCCCCATCCCATCCCTTGCCTTTGACTGTTCACAGTCAAACATGGATGGATGGGAGAAGCCAGGAAGAGAGGATGTCACCTTGCCTGGAAGCAGATAGAGCAGCTCTTCAGCTTGCAGGGCTTCTTCACAGGCTGACCCCAAGCTGTACTGACTGCACTTTGCCTTTCCAGAGCTCATCTTGGAGTGGATCATTACCCTCCACTAGCTCTAACAAGAACTCCAGGAATTTCCATGGAGACGGAAGCACAGGGAAGCCCAGACCTCAGGTAGAGCGCAAAGAGCTCATGGCCCCTCAGCTACTGTGCCTTTGAGATGGGACCTTGAAAGAGGTGGTTCAAGTTTCATCCTGGAGTTTAACCTGCCCCTGGTGATACCGAACCCTGCAGCTCTCCCACAGCTGAGGAAGGCAGGTCCCAGGCTCTGCTGCCAGTCTCCTTCCATGTAGATAAATCCCATCTCTGTTTCCCTCTCTGAGCACCAGGCAATGCTGCTTCACCGACCACACAGAGGAAGGATAATTATTCACCAGCAGAAGATGCTAAAGCAATGCAAAAAAATGGCACAGCTCCCGAGGGATCCATCCCTCTGTACAATTTGCATTTGGGCTTCGGAGGAAGTCTAGTGCTTTATCCTGTCCCTTTCTGCCTTGCTTTAGCAGGCTCCTGCACTGGATAAAGAGATTTCTTCTCCAGGTTGGGATGGCATTTCTACACGTAAGGTATGGCTCACTCTGTCTCATCCAGCCTCACACACCAAGCACAGAGGCAGAGACTTCTCCAGACATCCTTTCTCAGTGCCTAATTCTATTTCTGCTCAGCAATACAGTGAAATTCCACGCAGAAGTATTATGAGCTTGACTGCCTTTATTTGTTTAACAGTTCCCATTTTCATTAAGCTGTTGCTGCTCGGCAGGCAGTAATTCTATTTGTGTGATAGCCGTATTCATCTCATATGGGTGTAGATGCTGCTCTCCTTTCGTTTCTGGCTGAAGAAGCGAAAGTCAGCAATGATAGAGCCAAGGGAGGACTGGGAACTCTCACGGCTGTTTGTGGGTACATGTGGGATACAACTTCTACCTGGTTTTGCAGAACACGTCCCAAAGACTCGGGTCACAGTAAAAAGCCTAAAGGTGAACTTAAAACAGTAAAATTCCATTGGGAAAAGACAAGCACTGCCCAGGTACAATCCAGAAATAGCAGTATCTGTCAGCAGAATCAGCCCATTGCATACAGCCATGGAAGGGTTTGGGTTGAAGGGACCTTAAAGCTCCTCCAGCTCCAACCCCTGCCACGGGCAGGGACCCCTTCCACTAGAGCAGCTTGTTCCAAGCCCCTGTGTCCAACCTGGCCTTGAACACTGCCAGGGATGGGGCAGCCACAGCTTCTCTGGGCACCCTGTGCCAGCGCCTCAGCACCCTCACAGGGAAGAGCTTCTGCCTAAGAGCTCATCTCAGTCTCCCCTCTGGCAGGTTCAACCCATTCCCCTTGGCCTGTCCCTACAGGCCCTTGTCCAAAGCCCCTCTCCAGGTTTCCTGTAAGCCCTCCACAAGACTCAGCACTGCAAACCTTCTGCACCAGCTCAGTGCTGACCAAGCATTCCTGGTACCTGACTATCAGATTTGAAAGCATTAATTATGTGTCTAACTCTTGCCAATCTCCACGTATCTCGAAATATCTGGTCTCAGGAGCTGCAGGATCTGATGAGACCACAAAGAAGAGAAGCCTGGTTGGTTGGCCTGCACCAAGCCCCAGTCAGACAATCCCCTACCAGGTTCAGGCAACCAGACAGAGAAATAACAGGCGTTTTGAAATGGTAATGACTGATCTGAGACAGTCAAATGACTCAGCCACACCTCTTGGAGGTTGCCAAAGTCATGCAGGAGCAGGGAGCCCTGCCTGCTGCTCAACTCTGGGCAGGGAATGTGCAGTGCAGGCAGGAGAGTGCTGGGAGCTCCTGCAGATGGGAATGGAGGGGCTGTGGATGGATGTTCAGGATGCCAGCCACAGGCACACCCAGGCAGGAACCTGAGTGCTCAGCCCTGGATGCAGAGACCATCGCAGTAGCTCAGCAAGATGGATTTGTTGTGAGCGGCTGCCCATTGGCACCCAACATAACCAATGCAATTAAGAGAGCAGCAGATAAGATGCCCTACAACGTGAAACATGGATCTGAGCGAACAAAGGGAGAACGGCGAACACCGGGAGACGCATCCGTATTTCTCAATCAATGTCTCCTCCTGCCTCAATTCCAAATCCTTCTTTCAAGATTGAAAACCTTTCCCAAGTGAAAAACAAGCTCAGCATTTCTCTAACTGCTTCCTGTCCCTTCCCCTCTTCAGAGGGCACCCTGGTAGAATACCAGATGCTGGAATAAGCCACAAAAGCCTCCTAAATAATTATCTCCCATCCCCTCCACTGCAAATTTATAGTCCTGCATCTGTGTCAGGACAGAGGCCTCTTTCCATCTGTCTGAAACGCATCCTTTACAGAGAGGACACAGAGGTGGAATGTTTAATGGGAGCATCTGAAAGCGCATTAAATGCCTGGAAAGCAAGCGGCCGTTTAGCCGTGTGCTGTTCCCTGCCTCGTGGACGCTGCTCAAGTGGAGGGGGAGCTTGCTTTGCTTTAAATATGACAAATGATGCTGGTCCCATCTCCTAATTTCCCTCTCTGTGCAGCATGTCTGTTCATGACAGATACTGTGCAGCTGCTTAGGTGTCCCTTTATCTGCTAGGAAAGTATTGTCTGTTTGGAACCAACTCATCCTCAAACAGTAGCCCCTGAGGGGGAGAGAGAAAAGGGAGGGGAGGAAAGAGGCGAGGGAGCTGTCAACTGGGAATGCATCCATGCTTCTGCTGCAAAGGTTCTGGCAAAAAGCAAGCATCGTATTTAGCTTTAGCTACATCCTCTCTTCCCCCCTCCTAGACCATCCTTTCCCAGTGTCACTCACCACCTCTTTCCGCCCTCTTCCCACAAAGACCTTACCACTAACATCCATCTGATTTCACACTTACAACCTGTGGAAACAAAGCAAGCCCGGAGCCTTCTCCTGCAGGCCTGTGCCAGTGCAGAGGAGCTTCAGGTCCCAGCCTGAGCAGCGTGCAAGGAAGACAGGCAACATTGAAAAGAAAGAAAACCAACACACATAAAGGATGGAAAAAGGGGGGATTGGGAGGGAAGGAAGAGAAGGGGAGGGGGGAGGCAATCGCAGGGTATTTATATTTTGTGTTTAAAGAGAATCAAAGCAGGAACTTGGCAATTTTCTGTAGCCAGGATTAGAACAGAACAAACTCAAATGCTCCGTCCTTCTGCAGAGCCCTGCGAGCTGAATCTCGCTCTGCAAAATGGCCAATATAGAAAGCAGCTCATAAATCCCTGTGACGCAAGTAACTTCCCATTACTCTTGGGGAAACAGAGGCAGAGACAGATTCATTAATCCAAGTAAATGAATCCGTGAAGCAGGCTGGATAGCTGAATCCTCATAATGTCCCACTCAAGAACCAGCACCCAGGGCCCAGCAATTTCCATGCCACGCTGCCTGGGACAAGCACAGCAATACACTGGAATGGATGAGAGTGTTTTTAGGAAGGAAAAGTACAGTCATTAAACCACACCTGCCTTGGCCATGCAGCCTGCATCCTTATTAAAGCATGGTTTACTGCTGCAAAACGCCTCCCACCACCTCAGTCATCGCATTGTTAATACCAAAGACCAAGGTCACATAGGTAAGATGCTGCCTCAGAAAGCTGCTGAGTAGCAGAGAGCTGCAAAACCTGTCTGAGCAAGTCCTCCAGCAGCTCAGCACCACGGGGTGATGCCCAGGCTGGCGAGGTAAGGCTGCCTTCGAGATACCATCATTATTCTGCAGCCTGGGCACATCCGGAGAGGATGTTGCTACAGGCTGGTGTTCTGCTTCCAGCTTGTGGAATACAACTTCCATGTGTGTGCAGAGAAAACCTGGGTCTTTAAAGCTGTTCAGATACTTATATGTACACACAGAGCTTTGTAAGACACGTTAAAGAACTGTTAGGACCAACACTGAATCGAAGACTTTTAAGATGAGGAACTGTCCCTTAATTATTTTCTGGTGGGGTGGGATTTCCTTGTTCTGGAAATACTGAAATTCCACACATAGACCTCATAGCAGCCTTCCAGTATCTGAAAGGGGGCTATAGGGATGCTGGGGAGGGACTCTTCATTAGTGTCTGTAGTGACAGGACAAGGGGTAACGGGTTCAAACGTAAACAGGGGAAGTTTAGATTGGATATAAGGAGGAAGTTCTTTACTGTAAGGGTGGTGAGGCACTGGAATGGGTTGCCCAGGGAAATTGTGAATGCGCCATCCCTGGCAGTGTTCAAGGCCAGGCTGGACAGTGCCTCGGGTGACATGGTTTAGTGTGAGGTGTCCCTGCCCATGGCAGGGGGTTGGAACTGGATGATCTTAAGGTCCTTTCCAACCGTAACTATTCTGTGATTCTATGATCAGGCCACACATGAGTGGTCCTGAGTGGATCTGCTGACACTACCAAAGCACCATGCTATGTGATGCTGACCAAAGGCCCCAAGCACAAGCCTCTGAACCACGCAGTCCAACCCCGCTGACACCAGCATGCGTTTGCCCTATAATTGGGCAGGACACATGCAGGTCCAGCCCCACCAGCCCACCCACACAGGGGGACATGCCACTCACTCCATCTGCAGAGAGCTTTTCCATCTGTGCCACTGTACTCACTGCAGCGCTCCGACAGACAACCCGCTCCCCTTTCATGCGCTCCGTGGTGGCCGCTTCTCCAGAGCTGCCTATCATTTCCTTATCAAGCAGTAAGGACGTAGGATCACTCGAGACACAGCTCAGCCTTGCTGCGATTTCACTCTCTCAGCGGGTTGTAAATGCCCCTATAATGTTGGCTTTTTTAATCTCGTGTTATTATTACCCGCGGCTGCCATTCAGGCTGCAGAGAATAAAGCACTGAGGCTTTCAGGACCCGCACAATGGCTCTGTGCCTTTGCCAGCAGTTGGACAAACAATACCTCTGTGTTTCAGCTTTATTGGAAACCTTTCTGTTGTGGGAGCCTGCCTGCGTGTGTCCCTCCGCTCGGGCAGCACACAGGCACGAGCCTGTGGATTCAGCCGTCATCTCAGGAGCACGTGCCTCCGCCGCTGCCTACAGAACCAACACCAAAGCGTGCAGGCAGCTGCCTGCGAGCCTATGGAGGGATGGAGATAGGGGCTGGGGGAGCCAGTGGGTCTTCCCTATAGACCAACCAGGGAGTACAAAGCTTAACAGGGCCCCCCTGTGAATAATGACCTTCATTTCTGCATAAATCTATATGGAAGTCTGATGATCTATGACACAACTATGAAAACGTCAAAACTCCACTTCCCCAGATCACGTTCTTACATGAAATCCTGGCTTCTGCTTAAAAGAGCCCGAGATCCTCCTGTTTGCAAGGAAGGCTTCAGAAGTGGAACAGCCAAAAAAGCACAGCTCGGAATGCGGAGGGGATGGGAAGAACGCAGGGCTCTCCTCATCTGGGGAGGCTGACTGCTTTGGTTGGTTCATTACTGCAGGGGACACTGTGGATGTGCTAGCATTTGCAGGGCTGCAGATCCTCCCTCCCTCAGAGCACAAGCCATGCTGCACACCCTTCACTTATCCAAAACCCAAGAGACAAGTCCGAAACTCCCCCAGACCCAAGGCTGACTTGTCAAATGGTTCAGAAAGACACTGGGGTTATTCCATTTGCCTTCTGGTTTTAAGCAACATTCTCCTACCCCTGCTGTCTAGGCAGGAGAGCGCTGGGCGAGTTTATTTATGCCTTCCCTTCTCTTTCTCTCCCTTTTAAATAAAAGCCCAGATTCTCGTGTACTTGTAAAACTTCAGGTACAACTCCACAAAACTAGGGCAGTAGAAAACATGCCAAACACTTCAAGGCTTGGCAACAGCGAGTGCCTGCCTGTCTCCGTGGCAGGAGGAATGTCTGTCTGTCTTCGCCAATGTTTCTGAGTAAGAAATGTCTCATCCGATAGCCTGTGTACGTCTGAAGCACAGATGCTGTCAGCTCGCCAGGAAGAGCCCTTGACATCTGGCTGAAAACCACAGCCCCATCTCCCCTGAACACCAGCAAAAGGCAGGGAAACCTGGCAGGTCTGGAAACCTGCGCATCAGGTGCTGCCTGCAGCAAGCATCCCAGTTAAAATGGAAGAGGCAGCGGTGCAATGAACACAGGAGCCTTGGGGTACCAAAGCACCCACTTCCCAGTTTCCCAGCTCTGTGTCCACAACTCTCTTTGTCCCATGCTTGGGAGCCAGAGATATTTTGAAGGGGAGGAAACTGAGGATTGCTATCTTAAACAGAACAAACACAAGGTGAGTGGTTTGAGCACACGGTGTGTTGTCAGTGAGGTGTTCTGTGCCTCATGCACCTGGAGAGACAAAGTGCATCCTGCTCCCAGCTCCAGCGTTCTGGTACTGGGGCTGGCAAGGGAAGATGAGCTGTGCTCACTGTGGACACAGTAACTGGATTGCAATGCTCTCTTCCCAGGAAGAGTAATGAAGTACCCAGAGAGCCTGCGGAGATGTCAGAGAAGCAGCTGCCTTTAGACCCTTTGCAGGCCAAAGGCAGATTAAGGATAACACAGCACCAGCATAACAGCATCTTATCAACCACTAAGAAGTGGGGGCTGAGTGGTGGTGGTGACACTGGTCCGCATCACAGCCCAAGTGTCCAAACAGCTCTAAAGCAAGGAGCTGCAGACAGCTGGGAGAGCCGATGTGAACACCTCCCATTCCAGCAGTGCTCGTCATCCACAACATTTCCGAGACATCCATTCACCCTCGACACTCCAAACCACAGAAGTAATATCAGCCCAGGTAGAGACGGGCAAATAAACACGAGTTAAATGACTGCTCAAGGTCGTCCAAGGACTACGAGAGGCACGCGCGTCTAGCGAGTAGATTACTCTTCCCTTTTGAAAGGCACACAGACACAGAGAGGGGATTGGAACTGCTTAGCCAGGTGTGGAGCCTGCTGTGAACAGCACAGCTTCACTGAGCAGCCGCTCTTCCCGCTGCCGTTCCACCAGCGCTAACATGTAAGAAAAGCAAACCTTTATAATAAAATCCATTCAAATAGATGCAAATAGGGATGGGGGGGGGGGGGGGGATTGCATCTGGGCTAAGTAACTGTAATCTACGCATCCTATTTGTTTGCTCGTTATTAAATTACCCACAAGCCATTGACGATTTGAGTCTCTCTCCGAGAGCCAGAGATTAACT